AGTGAAACTCTTCTAAAAAAGACTACTTTCTTGTCCCATTTCCTGACACATATTTCTTCACATTTATTAAAAATCTAGGTTAAAGATGTGAAGTCCTGTCTTCCCTCCCCTGCCCCCCAGAACATCTGTGGCAAATGATGAAGTCCTAAGGAGTGACCAAAATGTGCGAACACTCAAGTAGGGGAAAATTCCACTTGGCTCAAGGACCTGGGCAATGGCTGCTGTGTTTATGCTGCCAAAGTGAATGGGGGCAGAGGAGAGGGGGGCATCGTGCACTGGGGAATCTGGACATGTTCAACTGGAGAGTGTCATGTCACCTCGTTCACCAGAGCAAAAGGGCTTTGTTCCTCCCTTCCCCTCAAATTTTTATGAACTCAGCCCCATCATGTACAGAGCCTGACAAATCCCAGACAGCCATGTGGGCAAGCAGACAACCAGATGGGATCCCCGTCCATGTGCGTCGAGCCTCACCCAGAGCACTCTCCAGCTCAGCCTCACCCTCTCTCCTCTGCCACGAACCTACACATCTCTCTGTGATTTGGGGCCTACAGCTTCCTTGTTGATGTGATTTTTGAGTGGTGGCCCAAGGACTCTCTCAGCCTTGGGCCAGCCCAGCTGATCAGATGAGCAAGAAGAGAGTGTGTTAGCCACGGAATACTATACAGCCATGAAAAGAATGAAAACATGTCCTTTACGGCAATATGGATACAGCTAGAGGCCATTATCCCAAGCAAATTAACACAGAAACAGAAAACAAAATACCACATGCTCTCACTGATAAGTGGGAGCTAAATGCTGAGTACAAATGGACATAAAGATGGGAGCAGTGGATACTGGGGGCTGCTGGGGGGGGAAGGAGAGAAGGGGTAAAGGCTGAGGGGCTGCCTATGGGGTGCTGTGCTCACCGCTCAGGTGACAGGATCAGTGGTACTGCAAACCTCAGCATCAGGCAGAGTTCCCATGTGACAGACCTGCACACGTACCCCCCGAATCTAAAATACAAGTTAAGATGGGTGCATGGCTTATGCTTGTAATCCCAGCACTTTGGGAGGCCAAGGCGGGAGGATTGCTTGGGCTCAGAAATTTGAGACCAGCCTGAGTAACACAGTAAGACCTAATCTCTACAAAAAAATAGAAGAATCAGCCAGGTGTTACAGCATGCACCTGTAGTCCCAGCTACTTAGGAGGCTGAGGTGGGAGCATCTCTTGAGCCCAGGAGGTAGCAGCTGCAGTGAACCATGACGGCGCCACTGCATTCCAGTCTGTGTGACAGTGAGACCTTGTCTCAGAGAAAACCAAAATGCTGAAAATATTTTCAAAAGAGCGAGAGAGGGTATCAGAAGCATGTGGCAGGGGTCCTAGGTAGACGCGTCAGGTAAGGGGGCCTCCAAACACCCAGGAAGCTGAGGTGAGGTGGGAGGCACAGAGCCCACAGATGAACTTCCCCAGCCACGCACTGCTGCTTCAGAGGCCCTCAGTGTGGACAAGTCACAAGGCACCAGAAGTGACACATTCCAGTATCCACCTATGTTCAATCTCCACTTTGGATTTATGGCCAAAGACGTAGCTGCAGCCCTTCTGTGTGAGTATGCTCTATCCCCAGAGCACTGTGGAACTGGTCGAGGACAGCTCTGTTAGCTCCCAGGGAAGAGTGTTATCTCTCTGAGTCTCAAGTCTTTGATCAGAACAGGGTTCAGACCAAAGACTTGAGACTCAGAGAGATAACACTCTTGAAATCCACCAGCTGTGTCCTGGGGCCAAGTTCAAGGAGCCTCAGTTTAGGTCAACCTACTTTTATACGCTGTTTATTTATGTTCTAGGTAAGGACTGTGCTAGGCCCAGGAAGCAGGTGCAGTGAGTAAGGGTTGCTGTCCTTTCCATTCCATTATTTATTAAAAAAAAAAAAAAAAAGCAGGCATCAAATAAGAATGTACCATGTAACACTGTACCGACTAAATAGCCTTGCAGAAATGCTACTTTTCACGATAATGGACCAAGGTGGGTTTCCTAAATAGTTATTTAAGGTGTGAGCTGATGTCCTATAAAAATACAACAAGGCCAAGGCGGGTAGATCGCCTGAGGTCAGGAGTCCGAGACCAGCCCGGCCCACATGGTGAAACCCCGTCTCTACTAAAAATACAAAAATTAGCTGGGCATGGCGGCACATGCCTGTAATCCCAGCTACTCAGGAGGCTGAGGCAGGAGGATTGCTTGAACCTGGGGGTGGAGGTTGCAGCGAGCCCAGATTGCGCCACTGCACTCCAGCCTGGGCAACAGAGTGAGACTCTGACTTAAAAAAAAAATAACCAATGATAGCGGTCATTTTTCTTCCATACATATTACATATTATTTTTTCAAATTTTGCCACACCTGGGAACTTGGGGAAGTTGTATGGGAAGGCTGTGTAATGGCCATGTTTTCTAGTTTCTTTTTCTTTTTTTTGAGACACAGTTTTACTGTGTCCCCCAGGCTGGAGTGCAGTGGCATGATCTCCACTCACTGCAACCTCCACCTCCTAGGCTCCAGCAATTCTAATGCCTCAGCCTCCCGAGTAGCTGGGATTACAGACACACACCACTATGCTTGGATAATTTTTGTATTATTAGTAGAGACAGGGTTTTACCGTCTTGGCCAGGCTGGTCTCAAACTCCTGAAATCAGGCAATCGGCCTGCCTCTGCCTCCCAAAGTGCTGAGATTACAGGCGTAAGCCACCACGCCCAGCCCACATTTTCTAGTTTCTGTATTTGATGCTTTGACATCTGGAGCCTTGCTGGTGCTGGACGAACTGCCTCTCCTAGGGTTAGCCAATTCCTAGGGAGGACAAAAAACTCACCTTCCAGGTACCTTTCATATGCAAACCAACCCACCTAGAGCCCACACCCGACCCAGGTCCTTCAGCCTCCCACCTTCTGGGCCCTGTCCCCTACCCTAACCAACCCCGGGCAGGCACCAGATAATTAGGGACAGCTCCTCCTTCCCAGAGTCCACTTATTCAAACTCAACAGTGCCAAGTTTGCCTAACCTCTCTCACCCATTGTTTTTCTTGGAAGGTACAGTAAAGGTTCCCTCAGCCTCCTGACCAATCCCGGTGCTTCTCTGTGTGGTCCTGCGTGGTGGGCCATGTGTGCCTCCTGTTCCCAGGGACCCGTGAGCATGACCCTGTGCTAGTTCTACGTCTAATCTTTTGAGGAACCAGCACACACATTTAAAGCAAATTCCAAATCACTGTTTACATTAACTCAATGATAAAGTTGTCTGGGAGGAATTCCATTACATTCTCTACAGAATGGCACTGGTATCACACTAGGGCAGTGCTTTTCAAAGCCCATGACCCCTGGAATTGGAACACACAGCACTCCCCAGCTGCACATTCCTGGGCCCTACCCTCCCATCTCCTGAGCTAGACTCTTCAGGGCAAAGCCCGAGAATCTGCATTTTAACAAGTTGTCTCACCTTAACAAGAACCACTGCACCAGGGCTAGTACGTCGTGTTCTCTACAAGGTGCCTCTTAGGTCAGTTTCTTTAACTGAGTAGCCCAGCGAGCCTCCATTTACTTCTTTGTGTGGTTCATTAAACATTTCATTTCATGAAGTCTGGGCAAGCCTTTCAGATCAGTAGGATGAGGTCTTGGTTTCATCTGGCTTTGCCCAGATCTAGGGGCCCACTTGGGAAGATGGACCTCTCACCACTTCCAACCATCTTAAGCCCTGGACGGGTCTGTTCCCAGAAGGGCCTCCCAGTGAGCCAAGGAGCCTACCATCCAGGCATAAGCCCTGAACACTGGACCTGGAAATCGTGCTGGCAGGATCACACTAAAGGTTTGGCATCTAGTTGGAGCCTTTTAAACAAAGCATGTATATTTATGCAAATAACATACAACGAAGGACCATCTGAGGTTGAGGGAAAAATTCTGGTTAGCCTCGGTGTGAGGACGTGGTGCCATTACTTTGGCTGTTTCTAATAGAAACCCTGGTGTGACTAATTTGACTGGGGGAACAGACCCACCACATCCAGAGAGAAACCGTGGTAATGAACGCAGCAGAAGTCCATGCTGTCATCATCTGCTCTCTGTGTCTCCCCCTCATTTCTGCAGCTCATCTTTCTGTTTTTGTTTCCTTTGGTATTTTTCTCATTTCCTCTTCCTTTCCCCATTCCCTGTCAATTTTTATGACTATTATTTTTCCATCTTTGCTGCTTTATGAAATGTTCGCTGTTTCAAAGTTATTTGTTTTGTGATGAGTTTGGGGGAGCAGAGAAAACAAAATGCTGGCCTTCCTGGGCTCGGCCTGTCACCAAGTTGGCTGTGGGCTTGGTTTCTGAATTCCTGGCCTCATGCCTGCATTCCCATTTTGCATGGGTCAAAAGTAAAAACAAGTGTTTTAGTCTAGTTCAGAGCTATTGTCTCTGCAGCCAGAATTTGGACAATTAGGTATCCAGGTAATTTCAGAAAATAAGATTTTGCTGCTTTGCTTATCCTGCTTGATAATTCATCCAATGCAGATTGCTGGCTGATTGTAACACGGCCCCTTTGCTGTGCATTAGGGCCACAGTGAGCAGAAGAGCTACGGACCAGGTCTACTAAAACACGCTCACAGCGGTACTGCAAGGGGAGGGAGAAAATGCAGAAGGCAAGGTGATGGATCTTCAAGTCACAAGGAAGCCCTGTTTGGCGGAGTAGCCCGGTGAGCCTATTCTTTATTAACTGCAAGCTGTTTTGCACAGTACAGAATTATTTCATCAGCTGAAGATAAATAAACGAATAACATGTGTTTCAGTGGCACTGTGTGCACTGACACAAACAGGTGTGGGAGTGTGTTCTTCTCTAACGGGAGAGAACATTGATGAGAACGAAAACACATCTTGGGAACTTGAAAATTCAAATGCAAATGTGAAAAGCGCACGTTCTCCCTCCTCCTCCCTGGGTGATTCTTAATGCCCCCATGTGCACGTTTGCATGAGAAAAGACACTGTCAGAATTATATGACAATTAAAGCTTACCATTGTTGTAAGAGCGAAAATTTCCTACAAATTTTATGTATTCATAAGTTGGAAATTCCTTTGGGTTCAAGCTGCCTCTGAGAAGGTGGCAATAAAACTCTAAATCGCTGTCAGCTGGGCCGTTAAAGGAAGAAGAGGAGAGAAAGGGGTCGTGAGCATCGCACAGACTCAGACTAAACAAGAAACGTCTTTGTGAAAACTCTACGGGATTTAGTCTACACATGGCCAGGCTAGTTCTCTCATTACGACTGACTTTTGGACCTGGTCTGTAACCCTTGTTGCACGGGTTTCCTTCCATAGCTCACAGATATTCTACATTCCATACGTGGACCCAATTAGTCTTAATTTGCCCCCAGATGTCTGTGGTTGGTAATGTCGGCATTGATTAATTCCGGTTGTTTTCGTATGGTATATTAAAATAAAGCGGCTCATATAGAGCTGCTCCCTTTAATTTTTTTGCTTTGCTTTAAAGTAAAATCAGATGTACGACGGGACAGATTGTTCATGGAAAATGGACTCAGGCTGGCACTGATGCAAGCAGCTTTGCTACCTCATGCAATTGTGTATGCTTCATTAAGGGACACGTGGTTCACGAGGCATCAAGGTTAGCCTTCCACCAAGGTTGCCAAATATTTTGATAAAAACTTCTAAATTCCACAGAAAACACAAATGTATATAAATAACCAGACGACAGCCTCAGGAGGACAGAATTTGGATTTTTGACCTAATTATTCAGTTTTCAGTTGGTTTCTTCATAGTATACAAATTTAGCATCATAGTGTCCTCCACGATGAGCTGATTGTTCACTGATGTTTGCACTGTTTCTTACTAAAAGACTCTCATGTAAAAAAAGGAATCTTGTCATATACACAAAATAAATTATTATTCTTGAGTTCTCTGCTTTCAAATTTTCCACATAAAAGCCAAATGTCTTACATATTCCAAATTCCAGTTTTAGCTTTAAACCTAAAATATACCTCTAAGGATCTTGGAAATGTTCTGAGTCATGAGGAAAATTATTCTTAAAATTAGTTCTCCCTTCTTAATTCATTCTAACCTCCTTTCAAAAGCAAAATTCATATCTTCCTAGCTTGTAAAACCAGAAAAAAATAAACTTACATTTTAAGTATTCTGGGGAGGGGGAATCCGTCACAAGCATATGGGAAGAAAGGATTTTATAAACTTCTGAATGTTCTTGTTCTGGGAGGAAATTTAACAAATTCTGATCCATGACATCCGACTGAAAAAGAAAACAAAGGACAAAGGTACACCCTCAACGCAGATGAAAAACAAAAGCAAAAGCAGAAACTGAACGTCCACAACAACGCAGAACTGGTTCCCGAAATGGAAAGTTCAGTGTCTGATTTTCTGGGGAGACTCTCAGTTTATCACTCTATCGTTTTAAATAGTAACCTAAAAGCTTGTATTTGTTCAAATGTGTACGTGCTGTTGTCTGTGGGCCCAGGAGGGAACTAAGAGTGAAGTCAGCAGATGTAGGAAGGACTGAGTCCTCCTCTTGCCTGAGAAGTGCCGTTTGCCGACACTCCTGTGTGCTGGTGAGCAGCATGGCTCCTGTGCACACCCAGTGCAAGGCCTATCACTTATTTAAATGGCTCCCAAGAGCCCATGGGGTTCCTTCCCTGACCCTTAGGGCAGCAAAGGGCTGCCTGTCTACTTCTTAAAGGTCTCTAAGTTATGGGATGGCACATTTTTTCTGAGTGCCTGGGCACTGTGATTACAAAATAAATATAACGTAGAGTTGAATGCTGTCCAATAGAACCGTCTGTGATGATGGAAATGGTCTGTAATCTGCACTGCCCGTAACAGGAGCCACTAGCCACATGGTTACTGAGCACTTGAAACGTGGCTAGTGTGAACAAGGAACTGAGTTTTAAATTTCATTTCTTTTTTTTTGGGACAGAGTTTTGTTCCTGTCGCCCAGGCTGGAGTGCAATGGTGTGATCTTGGCTCACTGCAACCTCCACTTCCCAGGTTCAAGTGATTCTCCTGCTTCAGCCTCCTGAGTAGCTGGAATTGCAGGTGCCCACCACCATGTCCGGCTAATTTTTTGTATTTTTAGTAGAGACAGGGTTTCACCGTGTTGGCCAGGCTGGTCTTGAACTCCCGACCTCAAGTGATCTACTGCCTCAGCCTCCCAAAGTGCTGGGATTAAAGGCATGAGCCACTGTGCCCATTTAATTTTAATTGAAATGTAAACAGCCACATGTATCTAGTGGTTACTATATTGGATATGCAGGTAGGAGCTCAAAGTGGACAGAGGAGACAGGCAGGTCTCTTTCTCAGTTTCCCTCAATAAACTAATCCACTCTCACAGCTGCAAACATGATCTGTATACGCTTTCAGGTTTGAATATCCAGCCAACTCTCTCATGTGCCAGCCTCAACCATCCAACTGCCACTCAGCTGCTCCCTGGGGACCAGGGATGCACACATGTCCCCAACATCGACATCCTTTCCTTGTTTGCATCTCCATCAATAGTATCATCAGCTGGCCATCTGCCTGTCCCAGACACCCTGGGGCCATCCTTGTCTCCTCTCCTTCTCCTCCTCATCCTCAAACCAAACAATGTCCAAGTGCTGCCTGTTTTTCTCCCTCTCATTCTCTGCTCCAATCACTTTTATTTCTCCAGCTTCCACCCTAGTCCTGACCCCCATCCTCTCTGTTGGGAATGATTTGGCCAAACTGGTCTTCCTGCATCCACTTTGGTGCCTGTTCAATTTGTTCTCCATCAGCCGTCAGAAGAGCCTCATATAGATCAAGTCACAACTGTCTCTTGCCTTCTGACTGCTCCAGGAACAAAGCCTCAAGTGCTCAACACACGTTCACGGCTCTGCACATCTCAGCCTCTACCTGCCCTCGGCTCCCGGCACTTCTCTACCTGCCCTCGGCTCTGGTACTTCTTTAACCCTTCCGAGCCTTTTTTCCTCCAGTTTTCCAGGCTTGCTTCTCCCTCTGAGCCTCCCCTGGGCTGTTCCCTCCGGCAGGGACATGCTGCACCCCTCCCCTTGTGTTTAACAAATGCCTATGCAGCCTTCAGGTCCCTGCTTTGAAGTCACCTCCTCTGAGAAAGAACCAGGTGACACCCCACACCCCCACTGATGATTTAAGGGCCTCTGAGGGGACTATGACCCCCTTGATGGGACATCAGATGACCAATATCATGGCAAGGCAGGTGAGAGCTCAGAGCTCAGGCTTGAAAGCAGGTTCTCCCTTCCAAGCTGCATTTTCCTCAGTTGTAAGATGAGGAAACTGTGAGGGGTCCATGAGCTTACTTGCCTCCACTGCTGATAAAACAGCACATGGCAGACATTCAATACATGCCAAGTGTGACTAGGCACTGAATGACCAGTTATAGAATGACTACAAGGGCCGCTGCACCACAGTGATGTTTTCCTGTACATCTATGTGCTGACCTGTGCACTCCACTTCCCTCCCTCCAAGAGGAGCTTCAGGAGAGCAGGGCCCAGTGCCTTGATCACCGCCACATCCCTGGTGTCCAGGATGGTGCCCGGCCTTTGATAAGAACTCACTGACCAGCTGAAAGAATGGCATGGTCAGCACTGTAACAGGCATGAAAACAAGGTGACCACAGAACACTGCGGATGGCGTGCTGCCTCCCAAAATGATGGGGTAGGGGAGATTCCTGGGGAAGAATTCCCAGAGGGAGGAATCCTAGAGTGGGAACTGGGGGAGAAGACAGTGTCTGCCAGACAGTCAGGGTGGGGAGGTGGTCCAGGCAGGGCTCAGCAGGCAGAGGCATGAGATGGGCATCCTGACAGCACTGCAGGAAGGTGGAGAACAACGGGAGGGCGAGAAGCCATGGGAGAAGAGGCTGCACAGGGAAGCAGGGCCCAGGTTCGAGGGGCATCAGAGGAGTCAGGGCTCCATCCTGTGCCACGAAGCACCCGCAAAGGAGGGGACAGCAGAACTGCGAGTGGATTTTAAAGAGATCCTCCTTGTGGTTTGGGGGGAGAGCGCACTGGAAGTCATGCTGGAGATGGCCAGGGTTTCAGCAGAGAGAGGGGAAGGAGTGGAGAGGGATGGACAGAGTCCCAAGCAACTCATCGATATGGTAGTCCAACCAATGCTCGCTGAGGGCCACCATGCGCCAGCCACCGCTGGGGACTGGGAAGGCATGTCGGGAAGCGGGCAGAGCCCCTCCCAGCCTGCAGTCAGCATTTCAGTGGGTGTGAGGACAGTGGACACAGCTTGGTGGCTGACTGGAGGACAGGGGGAGGGAAAGGAAGGACTCAGCCTGGCTCCCAGGCTCTGGCACAGACACACCGGTCTTTATCTTTACGAACGAAACTCTACCAGCACCCTCTCTCGTACATGCTACCATTTCTCATTCTGGCTTTCTCCAAGTTTCTTCGGATGTTCCTGGTTTTATTTTAAGCCCATTCTCTCTAGTTTTTTTAGAAGATGACTAATGTTCACAGATGACAGTAGTCTTTCTTCTTAAAGATATTTCAGATACTTGACAATGAAAACTAAGTGACTCCATGGCCTCTTCTTGGAGGACTCCATCTGAAGCCACTTCCCCCGACGGTGGGTGTGGCAGAGAGCAAGGCTGGTGGCTGCCAGGCCCGGCCACTTGCGTGGGAGAGCTTTACCGATACAGGTCCGAGGGCTGTGGGGGCACCTGAGGCCACAGGTTCTGCACAGAATGAAGATGAATGCTGGGTACCAGTAGGGGAAGGTATGATATATAGGAGGTTTCGAGGATGACGAATTAACACACAGAAAGGGCTCCAGACTGTGCGTGGCTCTTGTATGTATTTGCTAGTACATTGCTATTATACCATTTCCACATAATAGCAATGAAAACCAACACACGCAATGATAATTTGAAATTTTTAACCCTCGTGCTTACAGGGGAGAAAATTACATCTGCAGTTGAACGGTCTCTTGAATGAGCTGAGTTCTGTTTATTAAAATAATAGCAATTACAGAGACAAGGGAGGGAATGCTCCATCCACAGCCATCTTCACCGTCGAGCCCCACGATCAGGAAGGTCACCTGCCTGTGGAGGTGGGTGGTCCTCCCTCCCAGCTGCCTGTCGGGCCTTGACCAGCAGCACAGTGTACTGCACCCAGCTATGTTAAATGAACCTGTGCTAACAGCGCACGGAGGCTGGACCGGAAGGGGCTGGATGGACACTCAAGTCTCAGAGTGTCCCTGAGGGGCTCTGGCAGTTTTGGCTTGAGATCTGTGTTGGCCACAGCTAGAAGAGGCAATGGGGGGCAGCCCTGGGCAGACTTCACCTTGAGAAAACAATGGGTTCAGGGAAGTCACTGGGGCCCTGGTCTCCCTAAAGGACGAGGAAGTTGGAGGCATATTTGATCTACTTATATTCAGTTTAGATTCAAAGTCAAACTGATGGCCATATAGTTAAGTTTTCAGAAGGGAGTATAGAGAATGGCTTTGACTCTGGACTAGTAAGAATGAATTGAGATATAAAAGGTACCAATTATTCAGAAAGAATCTCTCTGTTCATCAAAATGCCCTAAAAAAGGGGCAAAGGTAAGCCACAAAGTGAGGGAGGATATTTGCAACACAGACGTCTGTGGCATGGCCCCAAATTAAAGTTCTAAGTTACATGCTGCCTTGGCATCTGGTAAAATCGAGAGGGCCTTGAGTGGCCCTCCCAAGTTCCCTCCCACACAGACCCATGGATGAGGCTCCCCAGCCAAGTCCCCCTTCTTATCAAGGGGACCAGGCACAGTTTCTGCTCACCCCTGAGCAGTAGGTTTCTGCTTGTGGAATTATTCAAGCAAGTCAATCACATCCTCCTGTGGGGGCCGGGGTGCAGAGCCTGCTTCCCATAGCCCCTACTGGTTCACTCTTTTCCCGTGTGCAGTTCCCCGTGGCCCTGTCTGGTCCTCCTCTGGGCTGTGAGTATCTGTGATTAATTAACTGCTGTTGGCCTCATCCAGTGTCAGCTGTGGAGTGTTCAGACATCCCCATTACCCTAGGGTGGGGCGAGTGAGAGGCAATTAAAACAATACCTGCCCACAACTCATGTCTGGATTGCAGAAAGAAAGCCTACTCATTATTGCCAGAAAATACCCAACCAAAGAGGAGGATGTCAAAATACCTGAGCAGGTAATTCAGAAAAGATAAAATCTAAATCATTGACAAACATATAAAGAGACCCTCAATCTCATTGGTAACTGAGCGAAAAGCAAAGTAAAACTCCATGAGACACCTTCATGTACT